AATTTCCTTAAGAAGACACTAGTCCACTTGTACATTTCCCTTATGTTAAGGACTACTCATAAAATAGAGAATAGAATAAGAGAAAATGTGAACTATAATGGAAAAATCATTTACTCACCCTATTAAGTCAAGAGCATATAGTAAAGAGAGATGTGAACTAAATGAGAATGTTATTTGTTTGCCTTATTAAGTTGAGAGCATAAAGTGAGAGGGAGCATTAGTATTGAGAAATTTATTCCAACTTCTTTAGTAAACACTACCTTACCTTTCGATTGAAATTTAAAATTAGAATTATGTTTTATCATCTATAAGAAATTAAAATGGCTTTTGAAATTTTTATGTTGATTTTGTTTACATTAAATACCTAATATATGTTAATGAATACTTTATGAGCTCTTGAGAAGTTGAATATAGAACAATGATTAACGAAAAGCAATCGATTTGATGAACATCAAGGAAAGTAAAGACTGAGAGTAAAGAGAAAAACTACAAGTCGGTGACTTCACTTCTAAATATTTGTATAAAAGATTTCAAATCTATGAATCAAGAAAAATGAAAAGCTTTCTAGAAATAGTTTAAATTGTGTTTTGAAAAGTGCTTTCAAGAGAAGATCTTCTAAAGGATTCAAAAGAATTTGAGAATTAAATTCTGAGAATTTTTTTAAATAATCCACATGAATTGAATAAGGCACTAGAAGAACTTGACATTCATACAAGCAAAGAAAGGCATGTGAGCAAATCAAACGCTTTTAATTTGGTTCATCTTTGGGCTACAATCAAAGAAACTAAGTGATTATATCTTGGTGGACCTTTACACCCTGTTTGGATTTAGTGATGGTTAATTAATATATAGTAATGGCAGTAATTAGATGGAAATGACATAGGATGGGGATCGCAAAATTTTTTTATGTTTAGATGATTGTATATTAATGTATGTTAATGGCATATTTTTGGTTAGATGATAGGATGGGTATGGTTGTATCTTCAGTCAAATTACTTGTAATGATCCCGAAAACTCCAAAGGTGATAAATTATAAATTTAGTACGGAAATGAAATAATAAATTAGAGTTTATATTCTTTACACAATGACTGAAAGTACCAAATAGAGCTTATGGGAATAACCATTCTAAAAGAATAACTAATAACCAAAGAAATAAATTAAAAGTAAACAAACTGAACGTCCTACTCACAACCCTCTTGTGGATCAAGCTCTGGATCCTGCTCCTCTTGATCTGAAATGGTTAATGAAAGAGTAAACTACACTAAGCCAGTAAGAATATCACACTACTCACCGACACATAAATGAAAGTTGGTAGAAATCATAAAAATAACTAATGGAGCTTCTTGATTTAAGTAAATCTGTTTGTCATAATAAAATCATTACCACATACTTATCATAGCGAGATACC